TCTACACGGCCGGGCCGAAGCATCAAAGAATAATTAGGGCATCTATTTCGCTCCAAAACAAATTCCTAGCCGGGATATCAGATCAAATAATCACAAGAAGTCGAATAATAAGTACGGAATTAAAATAGAAGAGGAATCAAGGGCGGAGAAGGCTCTCAAAATTAACCAAACACAACACCCATGGGAAGCGAGCAACACGACCGCCTTTGTCTTTCCGAGAGGATCTCCACACACAGGCACCAAGCCAGGAAATGACACCCATAAAGGTTGGGTCACGATGAAACATCGTGAACACGGTTTCGGCATAACTGTGCAGATGGAACCAAGCAGCAAATAAGTTGCATTTCAACTTCCAAACCAAACCAACTTAAGCTGTGTGAGACAAAGGATGTGATCCCAGAGCAAGGGAGGTAATAATTAAGCTCGCTTAACGCGTAAGTTTTCGCGACAAATATTATTCAGTAACAAAACATGGATTCGAATGTTTTTTTTATAACTCGACGCGAATCATCGGTCTGGCTAATGGATAACTTTGGTGGCACCGTCACGAGACCCCCACCCCTTTCTTCCAGAACGACACACACAGCTGTGTCTTCAAAGCTAATAAACACACGGACAAACACGCACGCGAAACACACGGACGGACACACACACGGACGCAGATGGTCCACCCCCACAGGAAGGTTTTATGACACAGCCTTTGAACAACTCGGGAAGCCGAGTGGAATTTTCCGATATAAACCGAAGGAAAATCCATACAAAGCATATCGTCCGGGCTTCGGCTCCAACACACATATCATCCGGGCTACGAGCCCATCTTCGGCTCCATCACAGATCGTCAGGGGCTCTGGCCCCCATCACAGGGTTCGTCAGGGGCTCTGGCCCCCATCACAGAGTTCGTCAGGGGCTCTGGCCCCCATCACAGAGATATCGTCCGGGCTTCGGCTCCAACACACATATCATCCGGGCTACGAGCCCATCTTCGGCTCCACCACAGATCGACAGGGGCTCTGGCCCCCATCACAGATCTCCAGGGCTGTGGCTCCATCTCTCCTTGTCGCCGCCAACGAAGAAGCTCCTGTCATTCAGAATGACGAGGTTTGCGGAGTAGCGACGCGTAGCTACAAGCCGAGGTCTGCACCACCTGAGAAGAATCGCTACCCTGAGTCGCAGAGTTGCGAGTGAAGCCAACAAAGACGCCAATGTCCACCCTGCCACGAACGAAGCATCGCTCCTCGTCAGAGTGACGACCAGCGAACAACCCGCAGGAAAGGCGGAGATCGCTGAAAGAGCGCCAACGAGCAACAACCTTGCGCCACCGTGCGCCACCTTGCGCCACCTTGCGCCGCCGTGCGCCTCCGCGCGCCATCGAGCGACAACGAGCGACACCTTGCGCCACCGAGCGACACCGAGCGACACGAGCGACCGAGCATCTTCAAGGACAGCATCGTGCCAACTCGTCATCTAGCAGTAGAAAGAGAGAGCGCACGAGCAGCACCAAGCCCCCGGAACCATCAAGCGCCAAGCAAGCAAGTTTCTTCAAGGAACATCGTGCCAACGCCGCTCAATCCAGCAGTGGAGAGAGAGAGGGAGAGCAAAGCCGAGCGACACGCCGAGCGAGGGAGCAGCAGGAGCTGTTCGTATCCTCCCACACCACACAAGCTAACGACACAATTAATATTACGAGGGGACAACGCACACACAGCACGCACACGAATAAGACTTTAAAAGAAAACTGTCTTTTCGTTTAAAAAAGGGTTGCCATTTCGAGGTGGTGCGTTCAATATCAACTGATCGTGCAAAGCAGTTGCTGCCGTCGAGTTACATAAATGCATAAGAGTTTTCGTTATTCATATTGCATAATTGCATAATTTCGCAACTGCATAAGTTTTTGTCGTTCATATTAGTTAATTGCATAATCTTGCCCATGAATTATTGACGCATGTTTGACCTGCATGATAGAATGTCACGTGCTTGTTAGAATAAAATTGTTATCACAGAAGCATATCGAGTGTTCTTTCCAAGTCCATGCAAAACCATCTTATTCATAAGAGCTGTATCCTGCGATGAGATATGAAAATGGAGACCTAAAATATTATAACACACACTAGGATAATCGGTAAATGAATCTATGATAATCGTGTTATCCTGATTGATAACTCTGGATAAACGAAAGCAAATTATCATAACTGCACACATTAACATAATCGCAAGCCTCCGCATAAATTACTACGATTATCTCCGTGATTATCATAATTTATGCATATAATCACATGCATTATCATAATTCATGCATATTAATACACACACTATCATAATTAATGCGATTTGCGCATTTTTCGGAAAATTATTAATTTTTATTATTTTCATCAAAATTTCATAATCACAACACATACAACAAGACCAAACTGCAGACACCAGGCCTTTAACTTTCCAGGTAGCTGGGTGTTGTCGATGGACTGTAGGCTACTACTGATGTCTTTGTGCAGCTGTTGCACCTGGTCTTTGTCCTTCAGGCTTGCATCATACCACCTTCCAAGGCTTTTTACCGGCTGCTCAGACACTGTTGGGATTTGGTCATCTCCGATGAAGAATTTCAGGTCACAGAGTACTCCCTTCACAATCGAGATGCTGCGTGACTTGGATGGTTTAATCTTCATACGGGCCCAGCTGATGTTCTCCTCGAGTTTTCTGAGCAGTCTCCTGGTGCATGGGACAGTGGTGGTCAATGTTGTAATGTCGTCCATGTAGGCTCTGAGTGGAGGGAGGCGAAAACCAGAGTCGACTCGCTGTCCACCAGCAACCCATTTTGAGGATCTGATGATAACCTCCATTGCCATTATGAATGCCAATGGAGAAATGGTACATCCCGCCATTATACCTACATTCAGGCATTGCCATGAGGTGGTGAACTCTGAGGTGGTGAAGCAGAACTGCAGATCCTGAAAGTACGACTTCACCAGGGTTGTGATGGTGTCCGGTATGTGGAAAAATCTGAAGGCAGACCACAGGAGTTCATGGGGCACAGAGCCAAATGCATTGGCGAGGTCGAGGAAGACTACATGGAGGTCCCTTTTCTCCACCTTGGCCATTTGGATCTGGTGCCAGATCATGCTGGAATGTTCCAAGCAGCCAGAGAACCCTGATATTCCTGCCTTCTGTACAGATGTATCGACGTACGCATTCCTTTGCAGGTACTCGGCCATCCTCTGGGCAATGATCCTAAAGAAGATTTTACCCTCGACATTCAGTAAGGAGATTGGGCGGAATTGGCTGATGTTCACTGCATCCTTCTCCTTAGGGATCAGGACCCCGCCTGCCCTACGCCACACTTTGGGCATTATCTTCTTTTGCCAAGCTGTTCTCATAAGCGTCCAGAGGAACCTCAGGACGTCTGGTGCGTTCTTATACACTTTGTACGGGACTCCATTTGGCCCCGGGGCTGATGCTGTTCTTGCCCTTCGAACTGTGTTTTCCACCTCTTTCCATGTCGGAGGGCTGGTCTCAATATGATGTTCCGGGGGTTCAATGGGTGGGATATCTGATGGGATGGCCAGATGTTCATGTCGCTTTGAGTCAAAGTTTGTTGTTCTCAGGTGCTCTTCTAGGTCTTTCTTTGTTGTTTTTAGAACTCCACTTTTTTCCTTCGTGAAGAGACTTTTAAGGAACTTGAAGGGATCTTTATAGAATCGAGTTCTAGTTTGTTCTTTCTTCCTTCTGCGCTTCTGTAGGTTCTCTGCTCTACGGAGGGATGCCAACCGGGTTTTGATGTCAGCCTGAAGTGCCTCTATGCCCTCCTTTTCCACTTCCGAGGCTTTATTCCACTGTTTCTTAAGCTGTCTCCTTTCTTGAACGAGGCGCTTGATTTCTTGTTGCCTCCTGGAAACTGGTGGGGTTGGAACCTTTCTCCCGCCTTTTGTGTCAGGAAACCAGCATACCCTGAAGAAAAACTACTTGCTGTACTGAAATCTCTTGGATATGCAGCAGATTATTGATATTTGGAGTTTCACAAATCTATGATATTCATAATCCCTTTTCAGAAGGATAGCCATTACATCACCATGTCACAAATGTAGCACGTTTTATTTTCTACATAAGACATTTAGGGATTATTATTTTTCTATCTTGGTTTGAAGCTTTCGTGACTGCAGGGATCCATACTCTTTGGTTCTTTCGGTAAAGTCACGTAGGTATAAAATAAAACAAAAAAGATCTATTTTATTTTATACCTACGTGACTTTACCTGAAAGAACCAAAGAGTATTATTTTTCTACTTAATCTGGAAGAGAGTGGTAGGAACATGGCTTGGGGACAGTGGCACAGAGGTAAAAGTGGAGTTACCCTAAAATTGTCAAGCACTACCACAGCCGTGCTAATGGTGAGATAACAACTAGAAGATGCCAAGATCCAGAAACGTATTTTGCCATGCAAAATATTTAAGCGCACCCCCCGAAGCTCTGTAACTCTCAGTGGCATAGCTACCGAGTGTGCAGGCACCGCTACTGCACCACCCACAGGCCGCAGGGCCCAGGTGCTGAGGCTAGGACGGGAGGGGACAATGCCCCCATTTATTTCCTTGCACCAGGTTCCAAGCCAACCACACCGGACCACTGTACAGGCAGTCCTCGACTTAAGAATGCTCAACTTATGAACACACACACTTATGAACCAGCTTCCATGAAATTAGTTGTTTTAACATTAACTTAAAACGTGCACTCTCACTTGCAAATTGAACCACAGCACTATTTTGTTAAGCTGAGCGATCCTCCGTGAGATGTATTGAGTCTGCCTCATGCTGGGAGTGAGCGTTTGTGTGTGTGGGCATTTAAATACGGTAGATTACTGTGTTCCGACTTAGGAACAATTCGACTTAAGAACGGGTCTCAGGAACTAATTGTCCGTAATTGGTTTGACTTTCTATATCACACTGAGACAAGCAGGCCCTACAGAAGTAACTGAGAATAGTTTCCTTGTGGAAAGCAAGGGGTTTTGGGGCAAACCTGTCCGTCTAGTACGTCGTCTTCCGGAGCCAGCATGAACTTCCCAAAGCTGCTGAGCTCCTGTCGCCCGTCGCCCTCCACCAGAGTCCTCACGCACGAGATCATTCCATCCAGCTCGCGCAGCGTCACACTCTGCCTCAGAGACACGCTGGGATGCGCGGCATGGAGCCATTGCTGAATGCAGCCAGGGAAAGCAACGAGCACCTACATCACACGGGGTTACCTGGTCCAGCTTTTCTCAGGGCAGCACTCGAGCCATGAATCCAGAAAGTGGCTCCGTGTGCCATGGTGCTGCTGCGAGCGGCCACGCTGCACATGTAGCGCAGCTGTTGTGCGGAGGCTTTCCGATATGTCATTGTGTAGTGGGTACAGACGGAGACTCAGGCTTACTATGGGAGGCAACACATTTATTAACTTAACACCAACAGATAACCTATGGTGGTGGACCACCAGGTAGCTACTCTAACACTCTGAGTGAGCTACAACGGACTGGAACCCCAACTCGGGTCAGGGTCCGTGTGTTGGAGACTCTTCTTCCGGCATAGAACGTAGATTTCTTCATGAAGACAACAGCAGCCAGTTCCACTGGGGACCCGGCATTTTATCCAGTGTGGCAGGCCTCGCTCCGCCCCTAGCCACGACTCCCTTTTAGAACTCTCGAGGAGGTTCTCCACTGGACACGTGGTCCCCCCAGCCCCCCCCCCTTTGGGGGTCCCCTGATAGACACCTCCAATCACGTGTCCTCTGGGGTCAACCAGAGTGTCCTGGCCCCCTGCAACCCCGTTCCGAAGCCGGCACTCTTGCCCCCTATCCTATCGGGGCTGGCACTGCACGTAGAGCGTGGTGCCATTCCTTGACTGTTGGACAGTGCTGCCCGAGCCCCTCTAGGGGCGGTACTCCATCCCCCTTCAGTGGTGTTCGTGGTGGCAATATATTTGCATGGCGTGCCTTTCCCAGGCTGGCCACACATAGCGACGTGCAGCAATGTCACTACATCACCCCCCCCCCCCCCCCAATTAACAATAGATAATTTAGTGAATGAAGTGAGGAGACCCCCCCCCCCCATGTGCCTCAACAATAACAATAAACAATTAATACCCCAGCCCACCTATACAATATATACACTATCTACAAATGTACAGTAACGGACGGGGAAAAGGTGGAAGTACAGAACAACAAGCAAGGCGAGAGAGAAAACAAATAAAATGCATTAAAACGCGAACGCTCGGAACCCCCTCCAGCACCAACATCTCCCAACCACACCGTGTACCAACACCCACAAGCACAACGAGGGCTAGATTCAGCCAATAGCCGATGCGGCCTGCCAAGTGCGACAACCAAGTGACAGCGTGGGAGTGTGTGTGTATGGGGATCACGAAAACTGTAGAGTTTTTGACTGAGTCCTCATGGCCGGACTCCCAGAGGAGGTGGGCTCAGTCTCCCTGCAGGTCCCGGGGAGAAAAATGTCCCGACGAACCTGGCTCCTCACGGGGAGCAGTCGGCCGGGCAGACGGGTTCCCGTCGTCCGGAGCCAGTGGAGCCGGAGCAGGTGGTGACTTGGGGGGCGTCAGTTTCCCGGCACCTGAAGACGGGATCACACGACTCCCCTGAGAGCCAATCTCAGCGGGCACACACCTCAGCTCGTCCGACATGTCACACACTTGACCCCTGCATTGTGGAGATGGGATGAATTTGCGCGGAGCGATGAAGGGCTTAAGGCGCGACGGGTAAACAAATCAGCTCCGCTGGCCCGAATTACATCAACAGGTCTTCACCAGGGTTTAAAAATTTTGGTGACGTACCCACTGGTACCTGTGGGCAGTGGAGCCAGGCTCTGTCACCCCGTAGTCGCTCATTAGCCAATTGGCGTGAATAAAAATTTACCATAGAAGCCTCATGCACTTCCGATAGCTTCTGAAGGTTAAAGCGCATGGATTCCGAAAGATTTGATTTGGCCTTGTTTGGAGCGACACGTAGTTGTACATCAATTGGGGGGTCATGATCTCTGCCGTACATTAAAAAGAAGGGCGAATAGCTGGTGGACGCATGAGGAACCATTCGGTAGGTAGCCAGAACTCCGGGAACCTGCAAGTCCCAGTCAGGCAGGGACTCGCTGACCTGATGCCTCAGCATCGAAGAGTCCTATGCAGGCGCTCCACCATTCCATCCGTCTGGGGGTGGTATGGTGATGTACGTATTTTCTTAGTACCCAATAAGTCGCACACCTCCTGCAGTAATTTGGAGGAGAAATTCTTGCCCTGATCAGTCAAGAGATGCTCAGGAGCACCCTTGTCCATGACATAGCCATCGAGGAAAGCCTCGGTGATGGCAGCCGCGGACTGGTTGGGGAGCGGCCAAGCTATTGGCCAGTGCGAGAAATATTCGACGCCAACCAACAAATATTTATTTCCACAAGGGGTGGCGGGAAACTGAGCAAAGATGCCTCGAGCGACCAACTCGTTAATGTGGGAGACCACAATTAATTGCACAATATACACACCCCGTCAACAAATCAACTGCATCCTCTGCCATGCCCAGCCAGAAGAAGTCAAGCTGGAGCGTGGCAAGAGTTTTGTGCACACCCAAGTGCAACAGTCGTGCACTGCCTATACAAACTTCTCCCGCAGGGCAGTGGAACCAAAATATAATATTGTAGCGGCGCAAGCCACCATCCCAGCAAATCAGCAGACCGTCCCTCAGGAAGACCGAGGACACGCCCCTACGTTCCCTACCCCCCATACGTTACCTTGACACAACGGCGCATTTTAACCAGGGAGGCGTCCTCCACCTGCAGGCATCCCCATTCCGCGAGGTCAAGGCCAAGGATGGCGTCACGCGCCACAGGACCGTCAGCCACCTCGGAGGAGGCAACCTCAGCCAACGGTGCAAGGGGCGGGGGTGAGTCGTCGTTCGGTGCCTTACAGCACTCCGCGCCCAAAAAACACATGCACCTGTCGCTTGGTGCTAATCGCGACAGGGCATCTGCGTTCATATGCTGTGTGCCTTTCCGGTAGGACACAGTGAAGGAGTAGACCTGGAGGACCTCCAGCCAACGCGAAAGTTGGCGGGACGGCTGTTCAATCCGCAACGCATACTGTAGCGCTGCTTGGTCAGAGCGCACTACAAAGTGTCTGCCATACAAATAGGGGTGATACTTTTCGATTTAAAGCCAGTGAACTCAACACGTACGCCATACTCTTAAGGCTAATGGTTACTCCGACTACACAATCCGCAAAGCCATCGCTCCAACCATCAAGAAGGATCCTGTTGAGGAGCCTTTCAAAACCATCACCTTACCCTACATTGCTGGGGTCACAAAAAAGATCTCCAAAATCCTGATTAAACACAAGATCCAGGTCCGATTCAACACAGTACATAAAATCCGTGATCTGGTCCCGTCTGTAAAAGATGTGGTTCCAGACATACAGTACCCTGGTGTCTACAAACTAAGTTGCCTCTGTGGTAGCAGTAATAAACCATTTCGGATCTTAACTGATTGTGTACACGTTTACGGTGACTTTCAGACCGCAGTTCACTCACTGGCATGACTATATATCTTGTATTCTCCGCAGGGAATGGATTCTTTGCTCCGCTGCAAGTCCCCTACTACCACTCTTCCATTGAATTATTTCGTTGCTTTCTCTTAGCATCTTTCACTCGACGGTCAATGGTATAGTGTATAGCAGATTGTATAATAATAAATAGTATAAAATTGTAATGTTTAATACAATGTATAAGGCTATATATAGTATCGTAATTGTATAGTGAATATACAGCAGTATGATATACAGTAGGGTGGATAGAATAATACATAGTGTAATATTACACTATGCATTATTTTAAGGTATAGGGTGGTGTATAGTAATACAGTATATAATTTAATGTTGGGTTTGTCTATGGCAGCATATAGTACGGGGTAGACCCGTGCGATGTAAAGGAAAAAAGTTTAGCTGGAAGCATATTATATTTTTTACGACATAGAATTGTAATGTATTACTTACTGTTAGTAGCTCAGCTTATTGGAGAGTATATTTAGTATACTGATGATACTATGTAGTTTATACTTTAGTTTTTTACGTGGTTGTTTAGTTACTGCAGCTACATACTATTAACATCCCTTCCCTTTATTAATGCTACCCCTATCCCCTCCCTTTGATGCTGCTAATCCTGCATAATGCACGGGCATAATATGACTTTGAAAACCTCCCGCCCACCTCCTACGCATTTCACAAGTAGTACTAATCACATACCTGCATTTCCCATAAATATGCTAAATTCCTCTTGATATGCAAATTATTTTGTCAAGGCGCACTTCCCCCCTTCCAAGCCAGCTTAAATATAGGCTCCAAGCGTGGTGGTGTTTCATTCAGATGCTGTCTCCCCGACAGACATGGTCTTCACCTGAGGACGGCTGCTTGCGTTGTGGCCGAAACGTCGTGAGAATTATTTTATTATGTTTAATTTTTATTATTTTATTACTTCCCTTCTACATGACTTTACCAAAAAAACCAAGAAGAGGGGTGATACTGGTGTACAAAAAAAACGATCGGCAGGAGTTCCCGGCATGTGACACAGTAGGGTTGTTCAGCCGGTGACAACACTCTGCTGCCGTAGGCAACAACGCACCCCACCCCGTTGACAACCTGGGACAGAACCGCGTCAATGCCGGTGTTGTTCGTGTCCGTATCAAGGACGAATGGCGCAGCAAAGTCGGGGTAGCAGAGGGGAGGGGCGTTCACCAAGGCATCGCGGAGCGCAACAAATGCAGCCTCCTCCCCCCAATGAAACTTCTGGCATTTAGCCGTCAAAGCGTGGAGTCGTTTTTCCGTACAAAGTGAATCCAGCCACTTCTCATCCCAACTCTTACGCGGCGGCATGTGTGACTCGACCAACATTCCTGACAACACAATCCCCCTGAAGTGCGGGTGATGCATGGGCAAGCACGGTGCCTTGCTGAATAATGGACATGTCTAACCCAGCATTGAGGACCTGGATGAAAGGTTCCCGGTCGTTGGACACGGGTTTGGGCTCCTACCAACGTCAATCCCCGAACAGCCTTATTGGAAGGTCCCAAGAAGATCCCCCCCGCAGTCGCCGCCCGATCGAGGGGCATGCGCAAGCGTAAGGGGACCAACATTTGCGCGCCCGGGGGAATCCGCACCGCTTTAGACGCTAGCGCTTGCACGGTGGCGTTGGCCGTGCACATCCGAGTGAGAGAGGGTAGAAATGCCAAACGACGACCCGATGGCAATTCAATGCACCCTTGGTCAATTAAAATCTTTACAGGCATTTTACCCAAGAAATCAGTCCCGAGCAAGTATGGAACAGCAAGGGACGAGGAGACGAGAATCTGACCGGTCAATTTAACGTCGCCAATACAGACCTGTGCTATTATATTGCCATTGATGCCCAATGAGCCACCGTTTGCGGCAAAGCACGACACTTCAACGGGGCATAGGCTACGTCATTTAGCGGGCAAAATATAATAAATTAGCTCTGAAATTATGGTCGCCAACGCCCCAGTATCGACGAACATCCTAAAATCGACCCCCTCGATGGAACCAATATTGAAGGACGAACCCGTGGTCGCGGCAACAAACCTATAGGCCAGCTCCGACCACTGACCAGGTCGGAGCGGCCAGTCGCCCTGATCGCAATCCCAACCCCCCCTTATTGATGCACAACGAAAATGAGAACCGGCGCAACGAGGTGAGTGAGGTGGATTCAGGGGCTGAGTGAGTGAGGTGTCGTGACTCGCCTTAGGTTGCAGCGGAGAGGATGGTCGGGCGGACGACGGCTGTGGCGTTGTCGTGGCGCTCGGCAACCCGACGAGACGTGGCCGGGCAGGCCACAGTTGAAACAGACGGTGAGGCCGTGCTCCGGACGAGGTGATGTCCTCCCCTGATGTTGGAAGCCGTCCCATCGCGCCATACCGTCCCTCCTCAAACCCCCGCCCTGGGTCGATGCGCAGGCTTGGGGTAGGCTCCGATTCCTCTGGCATACCCCGTGCCTCACAAGGCATGGCACACGCCACCTGTCCCTTCTTCCGCTGCAAGAGCAAGTGTCCCTGGATGCACCTTTCAACTTTGAGGGAGCACAGGTAGTCGTCGTCGATGGCGTGGATGACGACTTGAAGGTCCCGCGCCAACGCCAGCAGCTTCTCGAGGACCTCCTGGTCGATCCTGCCTCCGCGCAGTAAACCGATGGCGCGTGTTGGACGGCGACCCGTAGATCGCCACCATCTGTTTCAGCGCCTGCTGCAGCGTAGACCTGTCCCCCGGCGGGATGGTGACCAACGCCGCCAGGACATCGTCGTCCAGGGCGGTGGGAAGCGCCTTCAACGCCTCTGCCTCCGTCCATCCTGCCATCATGGCAGTTGGAGAGGAAGCGCCGCTGGGAGGCCGCCGAGTCGCCTCCAGCGGCTGAAAACTCTTTGAGGACGGGTAGACGATGTTGGAGAGATGGGATGTGCACCAGCGATCGCGGTGCAGCTTCGAACTTGGCGGGAACTCCACTCCGCTCCGCCAACAAGATGGCGGCCTATTCGTGGGCTGTGCCGCGGAGGCTCCCGATTGGCGGGAATCCTGGGCGGGAACCGCGGAGGCTCCTGGTTGGTGGAAAGATTTGGCGGGAACTTGAACATTTTCTGCGGGAAACCCGGAAACATCGGCGGGAACTGCGGCCACGAGCGGCTCCGTCTCCCTCTCCTCCTCCGCCGACTCAACGCGCTGGATCTCGTCCAGAATGGACGCCGCGACGTGGAGAAGCTCGGCGAGGCGGGAGTGTGCCGCCCGGAGAACCCTCCCCGATGGTGGTGAGCCGTCGTACAGCTGGACGGCGTGCTGCTCCACCGGCGGCGCATCGCCTCCCTCCTGCCCCTTTACCAGATAACCTATGGTGGTGGACCACCAGGCTAACTACTCTAACACTCTGAGTTAGCAACAACGGATCGGATTGGACCCCAACTCGGGTCCTGGTCCGTGTGTTGGAGACTCCTCTTCTGGCATAGAACGTAGATTTCTTCATGAAGACAACAGCAGCCATTTCCACTGGGGACCCGGCTTTTTATCCTGTGTGGCGGGGTATGCTCCGCCCCTAGCCACGACCCCCTTCTCGAACTCTCGAGGAAGTTCTCCACTGGACACGTGGTCCCCCCAGCCCCCCCTTTGGGGGTCCCCGGGTAGACACCTTGGGTCACGTGTCCTCCGGGGTCAACCAGAGTGCCATGGCCCCTTGCAAACCCGTTCTAAGGCCGGCACTCTCGCCCCCTATCCTGTAGGGGCTGGCACTGCATGTAGAGCGTGATGCCATTCCTTGACTGTCGGACAGTGCTGCCCGAGCCCTGCTCGGGCCAGTACTGCATCCCCCCTCAGTGGTGTCCGTGGTGGCAATATTGCATGGCGTGCCTTTCCCAGGCTGGCCACACAGGGCGACGTGCAGCCATGTCGATACAATCGTAATAATCCTAATGTAAGAGTTTTTTAAAAGAAAACATTTCAGTAAATGTTTTGAGGTGCATTACTTTACTGTCGAATCCATCCAACTCGCATGGACCAGCACGGTTAAGTATGATAAATAAACCCCCGGGACCTGCACGGTGTGGAAAGGCACTCATCTGGCAATGGATTGACAAAGGGCTGTGTACATGTACAAGAAGACAAAAAATATATTCATCATGGATACAACAAATGCAGATTAATTTAAAAGTGGTGGAATGGAGGTACGTGTGTGAGTTGGTGTACATGGGGAACCCGTACCTGCCAACAACAGACTGCACGGCGTGCTTCACCTCCGTGGTTAGCTCGCTCAGCCCTGGGGACACAAAGGCCTCTCATCCCATTGGTAATCTAGTAACACATGACAAGCTCCCCCACGCAGCAACATCTCATTCTGTACGATTGTATAATCTATAAACACCCGCTTGGCGTTGAGCCATTCTGCACTTCATGTCATTCTCCAGGAATTTGCCCTCTTAAACTTAACAAGGATGGAAGAACACCAAACTGAAACCTTTTACAAGGAATCATGTGTGCATTAACCACAATACTTGTGGTCAGAATGAAAACAAAAAACATACTAATATATGCATTGTCTTTGAAACTGATTGGTCCACACCAGAGACAGTTTTCTTTGGAGCCTAGTCTCAAAACGGTGTTAGACCAGTATTAGACCAGAGGACGCCAAAAGGCTCACCAAAAGGCGTCCTCTGGTCTATCACCGTTTAGAGACCAGAGGCTGCCAAAAGGCAATTATATTTTAATTGCCAAAAGGCGTCCTCTGGTCTAACACCGTTTTGAGACTGGGCTCAAAAGAAAGCTGTCTCTGGTGTGGACTAATCAGTTTCAAAGACAATGCATATATTATCAGAGTAGGTTTGTTATTTGCATTCTGACCACAAGTTTTGTGGTTAATGCAGACATGGTTCCTTGTAAAAGGTTTCGGTTTGGTGTTCTAACATCTAAACACCTGTTTTGTTACAAGAAAAAAGGGAAAAACCTCTTCTCATATTTTGGTACTGGCAAAGGAGGTCCCATGATGAAAAAGGATGGAAAAGTTGTACACTTAATTTTGTTATCTTACACATTCAGCAAACAGCAGAAACGGAGGCTTGGTTTGTTTAAGCGTGGAAAAAGTTACTCCATGAGGTGTGCACCTATGTGTGAACACATGTGTGCGTGCACACCTCAGTGCACGTGTGTGTGCACACCCTAGTGCATGTGTGTGTGCGTTCGCTAACAGCACTTGCTCCGACAGTCTCTGCAGGTTATACGGGGGATCTTTGTGTGCATTCCCCAGCGGTTAGTGCGCTGCCCTGCGAACTTAGCGACCTGAGTTCGATTCATGCTCACAGCCAACACCAGTGATGATGATCTGAACCCGTCCTGGGTTTCTCCTAGGTCGACTCAGCCTTAAATAAGTACTTGGTGAGGTGTGTAAACATCACTGCTCGGGAGACAAAGGCGGCCGGGCATGGTGCTGGCCACCCAACCTCTCGTATGCCGTGCTTTTCTTCATAGGTGCTCGCTAACAGCACTTGCCCCAAGAGTCTGTTAAGACTATACAGCGGATCTTTGTGTGTACACCCCAGTGATGTAATGCGTTGAGTGCATTGTTGCTATTGTAAGCACTGCGCCCCTAACAAACTGCTGGAGTTCAGTGGACACATGCAAACACAATGATATTTTAATTGCCAAGTTAGTATCATTCTATTTGTGTGGGATAGAAGTGGTGCCCTGCAGCCATCTCCTTACCTGTGCTTTAATGCAAATAAAGAGTAACACGTCATCTTTGACGGATTTAGCGCGAAAGACAAGATCGCAAGGAGGCCAAGTGCAGTGGAAAAACTTGCAGACACAGCACTGTTCACATACGGTTCAAAGTTCAAACTTGGGCATTAGGTTCGTGTTAAAGGGCGAGCCGATGCAGGCACTGCAAAATACATTTCTCGATGCACAAAACACAGGGACAGTGTCACAAGTGCTTCCTTGTCATCGTGTGCATAATCCGCATCACAGTTGGCTGATTAACATGAAGAGATGAACAGCAACATCTTCCTGGAAACTATGCAAGTGATTTTACAAATGTGTATTCATTTATTTTTAATAGATATATATTATGTACTGTTAATAAAATAATGTAGCGAGACTGCTGGATGTTGTGTGCATGTGATGTGGCATCACAATGCAAGCGGTGCTCATACCATCCCCCAGCAGGTACTGGATGGAGGAGAGGTATCGCTGCTGTACCTCCATCGGGACACGAATGGCCTGGCGCAAGACAAACAGTGGCATCACACCACGCACTGCTCTTGACTCGCTCTACACGCAACTGAAGAAAACCCACATCTAAGCAACAAGTCTGTGTGGCGTGTGCGCGCCACCGCAAGGCAACGGCCTTTTCCCGCGAGAGATGTAAACGCCATGTTTCCACGACCACTGCAAAGGAAGCCCACCACCCCCGTTTACGAGTGATTAACGCAGGCTTGGGTTGGAGTGCCACAAGCAGCCTTTGCGGACTGTGCGAGTACCAACCCGGGCTGCGTGGCCCACGCTTACCGATGCCGCGAGCCTCACTTTGCTAAGGTGGCTACACGCTTTCATCTGTGCTGCCCTCAGGACTGGTCAGTATCACAGAGATAACGCAGAAGAGACAAACTAGCAAGGGCAACTTGAGATCCACCGGCTTTTTTTGCAGCTCTCGACACCGGATCTGATTTATTTTTTAGACCCACAACAAGAACAAAACAAACTATAATCTTTAACATGAAACAGGTCAACACAAGAAACATAAATATCATGAAATATCACTTGCTTCTCCTTCCAGCTGACAGGGAGGAGGGAGAGGGAGAAGAAAAGAGGGGGTGGGGGAAAAGGGAAAGAGGCACAGAGGGAGGGAATCAAACAAGCGAGGAAGGCATAGAAACACAATAAAACTGGATCCGAGTCTGAATCCGTCAATGGTAGCAGCAGAAACCTTTGCGCCCCATTCTGCCCCTTAAGAGGCTCGAAGGTAATGGGGGCAGAAGTTGTTCTCCTCCCCGCAGCGCGAGGGGGGGCGGTGTAGTTGAGGGCAGGGTGGGGGGGCGTGAGGCCAGCACCCAGTGGACCGATTAATGGCACGGTGGACGGTCATGATCCAGATCCACCCCTGGGGCGGGGGGTCTCCCGCATGAGCACAACCGCCCGCTGGCGAGCGCGGCGGGTAAGGGGAGAGGGATAGAATTGGAGAACGTAGGTCATACGGGTTCTCCCACCCAGCCTGGGCGAAGCTGGCGGCAGAGGGGGCAGATCGTGAGGGGCTCGTCGCACACGGGCACAGGAGGGCCAAGGGGGGGTTAGGCGGGGAGGCCCCCCCCCCATCGCCCCACTAGGGGGAGAGAGAGGGCAGAGCCTAGTTTTTATTTTAAACACGAATGGAAATGGCTTAGAGACAGCAAACGATAACTGAAACATAATACAAATAAAATGGCTTTTTCTTATATTTATGATCATTGTCCTACACCCAGGAAAGGAGCAGTGCTGGGTCACGACAGGAATCGCAAGGCACAGCTCAAGTCCGATTTCTCATGGCTGTGCAAACATAGCGTCAGCGTAGGTATCGACAGAGGTAAAAACTAAATGCAATACACATGATAATTGTTTTTTTACCATTTTATCTGGCAACAAAACTGACACCTTTTTTACGAGGAGTCATGTTTGCATAGACCACAATACCTGCAGTCATAATGCAAACAAAAAACATAACTCTGATAATGTATGCACTGTCTTTGAAGTTGATTGGTCCACACCCGAGACATGTTTCGTTAGAGCCTAGTCTCACATGGTGTTGGACCAGATGATGCCAAAAAGGCGCAAAAAAGGTGTCAGTTTTGTTGCCAGATAAAAGGGTAAAAAACCAATTATCATATTTTTCTACTGGCAAATGAGGTTCCAATGGTGCAATACACATGTTGCACAATCAAAAGTGAAATATTTAGGTCAAAGGCAATGGCTATAGAAGACACTTGGCTAATGTTTTAATCACTTCGGGACCAAAAGCCAGAAGCTCCAAAGTCCATATCATCAGCTTTTAAACCACAGCATGTACACAGTACTACGTGTGCCGCGGTGACTGAAAACATTTCAATATATAGAGAACTGCAGAACTTGGCCAATTGTTGGTGTCAGATCACTGCCTGGCTGCTGCCTTCCAGCTCGTGTCCGCAGCTCCTCAGCGAATTTGAGATGCAATTTCCGTAAGCGATGCTAAATAAAAAACAAAACAAACTTATCTCATACAAGAAGTAGATGTTCACACAGGTAATCGATTGCTGTGCAAATCTGTTCCTATGGTTAAGCTGTCACATTCTGATAATAGGTTTTTCCCCTTTTTTTCTGGCAACAAAACAGGTGTTAAGATGTTAAAACACCAAACTGAAACCTTTTACAAGGAATCATGTCTGCCTTAACCACACATTCTGTACATCATTAGGTAAAGGTATTAAAGGGCTTGTACGAGGATGTAAGAAACGTAGTATCACAATTATCATTTTAAGGCATTCATGGTAGCACAGCTGTTTATATGATTTAAGGAGCATTCTGATGAGTGAAAAATAATGACGAATCCAGTTGGTGCATGTGTGCAGTGCTGGAGAGTCGCAGCAGTGTTAAGGGAGTGTCTCTGCAGTGCCTCCCTCACAGTGGTACAAATGACACTGTAACGTCTCTTAAATGGTCAAAGGGCAAGGCAGGTGCACTGGCATTTGAAATGTTAAAGCTGGGTCTAATGCTCATAGGGCACACCTTAACAAGCCTGCGTTCTTATATCTGCAATCGTATAGAAAGAGGGAGCCATACTTGAAAGAGATTTATAAAACAAATGTCTTCCCTAGTGGCGTGCCAGGCAACGCGCAGGTAACAATTACATTTGGCACCAGGTTCCCTCTTGCATCACGGGAACGAGCGGACATCCTCTCGCTGGGAGCACACACAGCAGTCTACCCCCACACTCGTGTGGATTCCAGGTGAACACTGAGCGGGAGCTGCACGCCTCCTCACGTCTGCAATGTTGTGAAGTCCCGGCACGTTCAGGTGCGAGAACCACAGTGCGTCACATGCGTGGGCGGTCCGTGGGACGTACGCACACTAACGATTATATTGTGAGAACTTCCATTCAGAGCTAAGGCTGTAGGAAGTCAGTGAGGTGTGTGTGTGCCCCACCTCTGGACCCCGCGTGCTGGAGATGGCGTTGTCCAAGTAGATGTAGCCTCCCACTACGTTGAGTTGCACTCTGAGCATCACCACCAGCATGCACGCTCCGTACACGGCCACCACGCTCCGTGCGAAGCCTGCACATCCCATGCCGCGTGAATGCACAATTATTTGGCTGCTAGAAATTTCCACGTAAGCCACTTCGTTGAGCTATCATTTATGGCCAGGTCTGCTTGTGAAAAAGAGTTAATAACTCAGTGGGCTTCATCTGGTAAATAAAATAATTTGTATAGGTTAGTTTAACCTCTTCACATGTGCATGAAGCCAAGCCAAAGCTGCCATGATTGAAATCATAGGAGATGCATTTATAGTTGCTATTTGTGGCTCTTCTTGTGTTTGAGCCAAATATAATATATATTTTTTACCTTTTGAAATATCTGATATGCATTGTCAATCTCTCCAGTGGCTACATCTGTTATTCCAAGCAGTATGCCGAGTATTACCTGAACACATGGACCCCCCTTATTAATTTGTGTGACTATTCGGCAATGCATGTCAGGAAGGCAGACAATAAAGCCCTATAACTGATTTCAAATACAGAGTCTCAATAGGCTACCCAAAACTTTTGGACGAATGAATACTCACTGCTGTTTATACCATTACCGCATTGCTGGAAGGAAAAGGTGGTTTTAATTACACACAGAAGTGTACAGCATCGCACATACAGAAGCTCTCAGCCTTAGAAAGAGCATCAGCTCATAGGAACTGAATGCGTGGTTCTTTGGTCGTATACACCACCAACTCAAGGAGTTTTTTATATATATATAAAACAAAGAAGTTTGCATAGTCATATTTTATCATCTATTTGAATTTGTGGTATAAACCACAAAATTACCACAGATTCAGTTCATTTGAGCTGGTGGTCTGGATAAGGCTGAGAGCTCGTATACATGCGATGCTGCACCCAGTGTGTTGTTAAATATACGTGTTTCCAGCTTGCACTAAACTTTTCTGTTGCGACCGGATTTCTTTCGTCATTAACATATTTGCAGAGCGTTGAACCTCTCCAGTAATGACTGGAGGAGCTCTTGGTTGTAATGCGGCCTTGTGGCTTGGTCCACTGCTAATTGAAAATCCAGCAAACCCTCGCTATGCGCGAGTTCTTGATTAGCGAGTTGTGCCTAATCGCGAGTTATGAGGTGTATACTAATTTCTTATTCACGATACGCCAGACTCCCGTATTCGTGAGTGTATGGAGTGCCTAAAGACCACCGACACCGGGAAGTTGTACACAGAATGTTACTACATTGGAAATTGTCTGGGAAGATTAGGCATGCCCCCTCGGCTGCCCGCTTAGTCCTCAGTCTCACAGTAATCTCACTCTAAACTAGCTATTGTGCATTTTTACTTTATACGTACTTACAGTCGACTCATTTATACATTTTGGTATAAACGAGTCCACTGTGAGGTCCATTAAAAATAATGTAAATGCAATCAGGGAAAGTTGTAGCTAGTGCTCAGAGTGCTAAAATGATAACTGTGCAGCGTTGTTATCAAGCACCTGCATATCCCGATGAGTCAATCCTCCTGTTTTCCTCACCATTACCACTACCTTCATAGTCAGCAAATTATCATCATCAAAGGTAAAACAAATACAGTTATTTATAATGTATTATTTATTTATTGTAGTTATTGTTATTAAACATGTCCTCCCTATTTTCACTCATACCAGCAACTTAACCCCATTTTTTCCCATTGAAACAAGGTGTCTGCATTTTGAGAATTCTACATTCGTAACCCTCACAGGATACAGAGGGCTTACTCTACATTATACTGTAAATGCTAATTCACTCCTGATGAGGGACTCCCCAAAGCCTGTGGGGGCTTTCAGTGTTGTTAGACCATACTTCACCTCACTGCGGAGTGTAGGTTGCAGGAGGGAAGCATAGACATGGGAGCATATACAGTACAATTAATTTTGCTGCACTGCCATCTACTCCCCACTATACAGCCTTGCAAGCCCTGTGGCAATCTGTTTGTACATAGTGGTCACCCAACAAAGCACTTTCCAGGCTCAAATCTGCTGAGCTTCTGAGATCCGATAAGAATAGGTAATTCAGTCATATGCGCAGGATAATAATCACCCTCTGTTTTAAATTTATCAACCCCTTGCATTTACTGATAGGAGTGAACAGCACAATGCAGTGAATATTACATCAGAAGAGCTAAGTATTATATTGAAATACTCACTCAGAATTTTAAGATCTTCCCATATTTCCAGCTTGTTTGCAGGTCTTGGGGCACAGCAACAGTAGCACTCCATGTTACACACTCATCATCATCACCTGAACAACATACTTCACAAAACCGCACCATCATTCACCATACACGACCACCAATCACAAAGTTTACGCCACTTGCACGACACCGCTATACACAATCCTACAAAGTCGACCATTCAAAGCCCCACACACTCACTGTTCTGCGCAGTCCACATCACGCTCACCACACTGCACTCACTGTCACTTGCATGCCGCTCTCATGCACGCTACAGGGCTCAGGCTAAGCGAATTCTCACTCTTATGAAGATTGCTATGTTCAAAAAAGTGTTGCATATTTGTAAGACTTTCAAGAAAATGATTTGCTGCCCTCTTTTAAAGTATGGCAATAATAATAATTTGTGCTTGTGCTTAATTTACTTGGGAAAGTCTCACCGAGTCTCAAGACATTTCCACATGAGGGTCTAGCACTGGCATATTTGAGCCACTTCTGTATTTGGGAGTGTCTGCGTATGGAAGGAAACTAAAGTACCCGGAGAAAACCCATGCCAATGGATAACAAACAGTCTGTATACAGACATCTTCATGAACTCCCATCCTGCACTGTCATCACCTGGTTACCTCTAAACACAATGGGTGTGTGGGCATCACACATTTACATGACCCAACAATCCTTTCTTCTCAAGAGGTGGACGACAAGCTCACAACACCGCTACGCCCGGCTCTCAGCCGGGCAGAGAGAATCTCATGCACATTAGTGACTGTGGTGGGGGCAGCTTGCCTGGCGCGCAGGGCAGCCGTCAGGCTCTCACAGTCCAGCTGCTTCGTGATGTTGTCTCGCAGCGTGGGCAGCATAGACAGCACTGCACAGATCACACGTCCACTGCCATTACACGAAGATGTGGCCCAAAAGGCAAGGAGCTCTGGTCTCGAAGGTCCGTTCCTAGGTTGCACATCCCAGTCTCTCCAACACACGAGATGTGGTGTGGCTCTGTAAGCTCTGCTCACCTGTCATGTTGCACGTGCGCTGGTTGCTCTCGAAGTGGTGCACGCGGCGAGCGTGAGTGATGTACGCATCTGCCTCGCGCTCCTGCAGCTCCAAGAGCTTGCGGCGAGCCACCCGTGCCAGCACCAGAACACCTAGACACGTGGAACGTGCGGACCCCATGCGCGCACACCGACGCACACACACACACAGCACAGCTCGGCCGAAACTCACCGACCTATGCCTAGCCACACAAGAGTTACATGCGGACAGACAAGTGTTTGCATTTACAGGCTTTCAGAGCAAGTGGTGTCAGCAGGTGTTGTTAAACAGAGGTCACCTTGAAAAAGAAGCAAAGCTGTTTCATGTGCCTCAATCGGTTTGTTTCACCTCCTGGTTAAATATAATATATAATAACAAACAGGCACCTATTGCCATATACGAGATGGCATGGACAATATCACGCCTGTTTATGTATTCCCATAACGAGTGGAAAACTGGCTGAGTAGCCCTGCAATGGCCCTGGGCCATTCCAGCCCAGCTTGGGTCTGGCCCCACCACTCCATGAGCAGCTTGCGACACTGTGGGCTCAGCTCCTGCTGCTGCAAACCCCTGCCCCACCCCCCTCCCAACCCTCCAGTCAGACTGAATGATGGTAAAAACAAATTAAGAACTTTACTCAGGCCTGTGTTGAGTTGGGCAACTGCAAGAGAAAAAATATATACAGGAGACCCTTGAATATCGTGGGTTTATCGTTCGTGGTTTGGACTTATCGTGGGGAACCTCTTTGTACACCAATTTTATTATTGCGGAGGTTAGTTTTAGCGTTTCGCGGGTACGCTGTACACTTTAGTAAAATATCACTCAAGGAGCTGGTGATGGCGTGGCTGACACCATGGTGCGGGGCGGGAGAGGAATGCGAGGCAGTTTTTTGTACCAGTAACTATGGGTCCTAAGCATAAACCAGCGGATAAGAGTAATAGTGTTGCTAAAAGGCAGTCATGACCTTAAGTGAACAAATAGAGTGGTTAGATAGGTTAGCTAGAGGAGAAAGTGCGGCATCTGTGGGCCGCCATTACAGAAGAAAACGAATCAACTGTGCAGTATATTGAAAACTGTGAAAAGAATATTCATAAGTGTCAAGGCAAGTGCTCCTCAAAGTGTTAAAGTGGCATTGCAATCTTGTGACTATAGAATGCATGGAAAAGGCATTAACTATTTGGATTGAAAGGCAAAAAAACAAGTATCATTGAGTGGCCCCTGTGACACGTGCAAAAGCAATGCAGCTCTTCAAGAAACACGCACAATTAATCCGGCAGTTCAGCCAAGCCTGCCCCCCAGTTGAGCCAGCAAAGGCTGGTTTAAATTTTTCAAACGGCGTAACGGCCATCATAACGTCGAGTTCGCAGGCAAAGCAGCATCGGCAAATCATCACCCGGTGGAATTGAAAAAGTAAATCGAGAAAGGATATCGACCTGAGCAGGTCTTTAATGCAGATGAAACGGGATTACTTTGGAAAGAGGATGTGATCCCTACCTTCCTATCCAAACAAGAAAACCTGCTCTGGGTTATAAGGTGGCCAAGGACCACATCACGCTCCTGCCATGTGGCAACCCCGCAGGAGACTGCTTCACAAAGTCCATGATGATTTACAGATTGCGTAACCCTTGTGCCCTCAAAGGAAAGAACTACAATTAGCTCCCGGTATTCTAGCGATCCAATTGGGAAGCGTAGGTGACTGCAGCAATATTTACTGAATGTATAACCAATTGCTTCATTCATCAAGTCAAAAGATATATTGGCATCGAAAAACCTTGTATTTAAAATTCCTACTTATTTTAAACTAGCGGTAAGTACCCAGCGTTGCCCGGGCGAAAAAGACACACACATCGACTTACAATGTACATGAGTTTAGCAGAAGAAGCAAAGAACAGAATATTATTTGTCCGCACACAAACATTATGATTGTAATATTTGCCAGGTGATTATTTTGAAAATAGGTTTCTATCAATGTGATTTGACGCAATTACAAATATATCAACGCAGAGCAAGTTATTAATAAATTATTAGTTGTGAGCACACAAACGAAAATATGTGAATATTTGCAAGGTGATTATTAAAATACCAGGTTTGTGTACATGAGTTGAGCGAAAAAAGCAAGGAATAGAAAAAATATTTGTCTGCACACAAACATTATTAATGTACATTCATTGTTCCTTTCGGTAAAGTCACGTAGAGAGAAAAATAATGAAAAGTGTAAAAAATGTCACACAATACCATACAAGAACAACAACCGCCATTCGGCACTAAGTGGCGGTGACGTCACCACGACGCTTGTGGCAGGCTATGTGCACCTTGAGGCCACGTGAAGTGTCGAACGCCTGCTGGCAGGATGTGACAGGGCAGACCCAGATGCGACAGGTCGACTGACTGAGACGACTGGCTGATGCACCACCTGTGCCCCCTACTGTGCCAACTTGCTGTGCTTTAGCTACCCGGCGCTCCGCTCATTGTTGTGAGAGTCGCTCCTCCGCCCTCCGCTGTTGGAGGACGACTGCATCCAACTGGCCAGTAGTGTCCATCACGAGCCTCCTCCACAGAGGACAATCTTGACAGCACTGGTAGCAGTCATCGGCAAGTCCACTCAGCTCCACATCCTCCTGTACCACATCACTCCATCTCTTCTCTAGACCGTTCCGCGTCCGTTTAGCCCCCACTATCCGGCCGAATAAAAGCTGTTTAGGCATGCGGTGGCTGGGCATGCGGGCTACATGGCCCAGCCAACGCAGCCTTGCCTGCCGGATGAGCTCACCGATGAGACTTTGTCCACATCTTTAAAGGATTTGTGATCTCTTCACACAATCCAGCCTGGTTAGACCCAGGATGGATCGTAGGCAGGCCAGCCGAAATGTTTCTAACTGGTGAAGATGTTCCATTAGGGGGGGTCCACGTTTCGCAAGCGTAGAGAGTAGAGAAAGGAGGGAATGACTGTGGCCAAGAAGACCTGAAGCTTCGTGCGGAGCGACATACTAGGCAGCTTCCACACAGCATTACGCAACCGACGAAAAGACAATGCCGCTTTACTGATTCGGAGTGAGACCTCTGCTGTTAAACCGGAGCCGGTCATGAGCACACTGCCCAGGTATGGGCAACTCTCCACTCTCTCCACAACTGCCCCATCAGCAATTGGGAGTTGTGGGGATGGAGTGTCCGATGGTACAAAATACCCAGGCAGGTGCTAAGTTTTGGTGGGGCGGATGGCAAGATCCCACCGCTTAGTGGCAAGCTCCAGGTTCAGCAGCAGCGCCTCCAACTCCTCGTCTGAGTGAGCAGCAATTACCAGATCATCGACATACGTAACATGGTTGAGCAATAGGGAGCCATCCCTTGACCGCACCCGGGCATCGATCAGCCTCCCATTGTATCTGTACCAGATAGAAATTCCTCCAGTACAGCTATTGAAGGCTTCACGAACTACGTGGTAAAAATAGATGTAAAATAATGTGGGAGCCAGAGGACATCCCTGTCGCACCCCAAGGTGTACAGGGAATGGCTCCGACTCCCAGCCACGTAGTTTTACCCGGGCCTGCTCACCATCATGAAGGTCCTTAATGATCATGAGCAGAGGGTGAGGGACTCTGAAAGCACGCAGAACAACTCAGAGGGCAGGCATTCTGATGGTATCATAGGCCTTGACCAGGTCAATAAAGCAGATATGTAGGTCTTGTTGGAATTTCCTACACCTCAGCTGTAGCAGACGGACAGAAAATATGGCATCTGTCCAGGACCGCCCTTTCCTAAAACCGCATTAAAACTGCACAATACGATACACACCATGCTATACACACATAACCACGCACACAATACCATACACACCATGCTATAGACACAATAGCATATACACCATGCTATGCACACAACAGCAAACACCCAATGCCATACACACAATACTGTAAACACCAGACTATACACACCATGGTACACACACAATAGCCTACATAGCATGGTACACAAACAATACCAAACACACAACACTGTGTGTATGGTATTGTGTGTATGGTATCGTGTGTATAGCATGGTGTGTATGGTATTGTGTGTAAAGTACGGTGTGTATGGTATTGTGTGTATGGTATTGTGTGTAAAGTACGGTGTGTATAGTATTGTGTGTATGGTATTGTGTGTAAAGTACGGTGTGTATGGTAGTGTGTATGGTATTGTGTGTATAGCACGGTGTGTATAGCATGGTGTCTATGGTATTGTGTGTATACCATAATGTGTATGGTATTGTGTGTATACCATGTGTATTGTAGTGTGTTTCGGGTATTGTGTGTACGTTAATGTGGTTAGCATGGTGTGTATGGCATTGTGTATGGTAGTGCGTGTATAGCATGGTGTGGATGGTATTGTGTATGCTATTGTGTGTATGCTATTGTATATGGTATTGTGTATGGTAGTGTGTGTATAGCATGGTGTGTATGGTAGTGTGTATGGTATTTTGTCTATAGTATGGTGTCTATAGTATGGTGTGTATGATATTGTGTGTATAGCATGGTGTGCATAGTAGGCAGAGGTCGCAAACGGGTTTTGATTCCTTACCCGTACCCGGCCGCACCAGGGTTGCAAACGGGTACCCGTACCCAGCCGGGTACGGGTACCCTACCCTACCCGTACCCTACCCGATACCCGGCCGGGTACGGGTAACCGGGTATCAGGTAGGGTATCGGGTACCCGATTGCGACATCTAGGATGAAGCCATGTTGCAGGCGCGGGTGGGTTGATTCTAGGAACTTGAATTGTGAGAAGAGACAAGACGTTGGGAAATGAGTGACAAACGGTTACTCCCAGTGACTCACGGCCTACCCGTACCCGGCCGCACCAGGGTCGCAAACGGGTACCCGTACCCGGCCGGGTGGTTTATAGCAATACAGTATATAATTTAATGTTGGGTTTGTCTATGGCAGTATATAGTACGGTGTAGACTCGTGTGATGTAAGAGAATAAAGTTTAGATGGAAGCATATTATATATTTTTTACGACGTAGAATTGTAATGTATTACTTACTGTTAGTAACTCAGCTTATTGTAGAGTATATTTAGCATACTGATGATACTATGTAGTTTATACTTTAGTTGTTTACGTGGTTTTAGTTACTGCA